AACTTAAACTACAAGTGCATGCACCTTCCCCACTCGCACCCCTCAGGTGTGCTGGGACAGGAAAGATTTAGACGAAGGCCACCAGTTACCCCTCCAACAGCTGGGATGGTAGGAACTGAAGACCCTTACAAGACACCTGCTTTCAGTCATTTATACAGCTCTGCGCTCAGTCCTTGGTTATCACTTAATAATTATGCCATCTGCAGGCACTGGAAATGAGGTTAATAAAGAACTTTTCAATGTTATGAGGAAATGCTTATTCTATGATATTAACTGAAAAATCCAGAATCAAAACGTATACAGAACATTATTACAACTATGTCTCCCTATCTACTATCTATGTATGAAAAAAGACATAAAAGTGTTAACTGTGTTTATCTGTAGGGCAGAATAATAATTTCTCATCTTCTTTACTCACTTCTTTATTTTTTTAATTTTCTGTACTATCAATTAGTAGAGAAAATGTGTCTATATGGATTTATGCATGTGTACCCATCTGTGTATGTGTGAATAAGTATAAAAATTTCTCATTATACTAATCTTTGTGGACTAACTTTCTCCTAAAGATTTCAGAGCCCTTTGTAGATGAGCAGTTGACATCCCTGCAGAGACAGGAAGGCCATAATGAACACTCAAACCACACAGTAACTGAAGAGAGGCAGATTAAGGGGGAAATGATTTACATAAATGTCACAGTAGGTGTGGATTGAGAACTGTGATCAACAACTTCAAATTCTTACCCTTAAGACTTTGTTCTCTTCCAATTAGGAGTCTGCCCTGTGTTCATAAATCCCAGGCCCATTTCTAGCTCTCTGGGAACTGGCTGGTGCCAAAAGTCAGGCTGAGGCACTGACTTGATCTGGTCCTGGACGAGAAGACGTGAGATGCTATTTCCTGTCATTCTGCACCTGGGCGTGCAGATGCCTTGCAGGTGAGTCAGACCCTGAGCTCAACCCAGGACTGCACTGGCAAGTTGGAACAGGCTAGCGATTTAAGCCCTTGCTGCAAAGCATGGACTGCTGACTTAGCAGCCAGCACTGCCATGAGCTGTGCCTGTGTCCCAACTAGAGCCAGTGAGATAAAAACAGAGGTGCTTCTGACCTTTTGCAGGGGGGTGCAGACAGCAACTTCACAGCCTTTTCTGCACCTGCTCTGGCGATCAGTCTTCACCTGGCCCTTTCATTCACTGTACCTTTGATTGCTTGAGGACCTACTAACTGCAGGTTTCTGTGCTAGAAAAGCCTCATTGATAAAATATTTTCTGAGTACCATTCATACACTATTTACTATGTCCTAACCCGTACACCGTTTTCTGAGTGTGTGGCAGCTAGAATATAAGTGCCATGAGATTTGTCTGTTTGCGGCAGAGTGCACAGTGTGTCCCCAGTGCCTGGAACAGTCCCTGGCATCCAGGTGTTACTCAAGAAATATTTGTCTGAGTGAATTAATGAATGAATTAATATTATCCCTAACCAATGGCAAGACTCTTGAAGGCATAGCTCTCTCTTGTCCACCCTTGTATCAGGCTTAAGTCTAGCAAGGAGTATGTAATGATGAGGATGATCAGTAATAACAGTAATTTTATTCCCGAATGTTTCTGAAGCAGCATCATGCCAGGCTTTGTGCTTTATATGCAGTATCTCGTAATCCTCCTAGTAACAGTAGAAGGTAAACTCTTTTGTTATATTCATTTAACAGATGAGAACACTGAGGACTGACTAGGTGAGTGACTCGCTTAAGGGCACACAGCTGACACACACATCCCGAGGTCAGGATTCTAACTCCCAGCAGTCTGTCCAAGTGCTCAGCCATCGTGGGAAGTCATGGCAAGTACTCAACACGAACTGAGTTAAGACCCTTTAAAATAAACTTTAATAAGAACAAGGAGCGATCCTGGAAGCCAGACACATGAGACATTTTGGGGAAGTCACATGCATGCAGGCAAACAAAGATCTTACATAAATAAAATGACAAGAAAAGATCTGTAACAATGATTACAAAGGACCTGTCTTCAAGGAGTTCACAACTTATGCTTTAACAGAAATATCAAAATCATAAGACTTAAGAACGATTATTTTCCTTTGCTCTATACACGGAGATGGAGACTTGATGAGTGATTTCCAGTTTAAGGATCGTGAGTCCCGGCCTCCATCCTCAAAGCAGACCTCCTATCTTTCAGGGGCTCAGATCACTTTCTGTGACAAATGTTTTCCTATTGAATGAGTCACTTGGTGACAAGGGACAGACTCTGGGGTTGTTGCCTGGGATCCTCATGCTAGGATGAAAATGGTACCCAGGACTTGTGTGGTTTAACAGGACAGGTCTACAGATGAGACCCTGTTGACTCAATAGCGTTGAAGTTGAAGTTTGCAGAGATACCTGAGTCACCTGGCATCGGGACATGTTTTCTGAAGGAGCAGTTTTTTATTTTCAACAACAGTTGGATTAATAACAACACTGTTCCCTGTGTGCCCACCACCAATGAAGACCTTGTGGACAATGCCTGGTCCTGCCTCTCCCCTGACCTTGAGTCACTCCTCTCCGCGGCGGCTCTGCTCAGCTCGGCCCCACCCCACAGAGGGTGTGCAGTGGGCTCCGTCCTGCCCCGTGTCTACAGTCCCAACCCCCTGGCTGGGACCTCAGGAGTGGCCGTTCCGCTTCCACAGTCAGGCTTAAAGGAAAAGAGTCTACCTCCCAGAACTTGATCAAAAGGGTTGGTTTCACCAGAAACCACTAAGTCCATAATGCCTGAGTGGCATCAACGTGGCCTGGACTCAGTGGGGGTCACTGCCTGGCGGAGCCAACTCCTGGAAACTGGAGACAGGTTTGCTGAACGCCATCCATACTCCGCCCTGTCAGAAGACTTTGCCTTTAATGCAATCAAGAGCCCAAAGACACAGCACCTGAACTGTGGGTTTTTTTAATTGAGTCTCTTTTCTCCAAGGACACCAAGGTCCCCGGTCCTTCCATTTATTTCCAGCCCTGGACACTGGCCAGCCAGTGGGTGGCAGGCTGGGTGAGCTCTCTGCTGAAGGCCTCTCATACTCTGCCTGGCGCTGGGGTGGAGAAGCTCTGTTTTTATTCACTTTTATTTGTGAGGTCATCGCTCCCCCAACTCTCCTCCTGGGAGGTGGCTCGGGTGAAAGTTGCTGGGTTAGGAAACGGAAACGGAGGCCCTGCGCACCCCTTCCCACCCCGCTCCACCCCAGGGGTCTCACCTCCTCTTCCAGCTTGACAACCCTGGCCTGCGCATTGCTCAGAGCCTGGTCCAGGATCTCAATGTGTCTCCGGTGGTCCTCGCTTGCGGTCCGCACCGCTGCTAACTCCATTTCCAACTTCTCCTTTTCCTTCAAGAATTCCTTGTCTAGAAGGGAAGCAGGAACAAAACCACCTCCATCAGAAGGCACTCACCCTCTGGGACCACTGCCAGTCCACATCTGGCAAGGACTGAAAATTCTAAAAAGCACGCAGAAAGTAGAGACTTGAATGACTGTCTTTGCTCCCTCTTAAGGGTGGTGGTGTGTGAAGTAAGGCTTTTCTCAAAAATCACTGTTAACTCCAGACACACGCTAGGTCACAGTTCCTGGGATGAATGGTACACAAAGAAGCAGTGACCCCATATTCTCAGTGATTCGCTTCTGTACAACATGTACTTCATGCTGCAAATTAGCCTTGTACCTACGATTCTGTTTTTGGCTCACAACCTCTCCTGCTTTTTACCTCCCAAACCAGTCATGGAAAGGCAGGCAGTGCAAAGGATAACACTAACGTTCTCATTCACAGGAACAGAAACCAAGGTCCAGGAGGTTAAGTGCTCGGTGTGAGGCCGGGCAGCAGAGAGGAGCTTCAACCCAGGCCTCCAGTCTCCAGCTGGATCCTCTTTCCAGATGACCTGGCCTCACATTTTCTCTTAGCTCCGCTCAAAAGAGGGAAGGCACAGGGCTCTGGTTGTGGGGAAACTGCTTTCCTCTTGTTTGATGATGCTGTAACTGATGGTGATCACTGTCTCTCTGCACGTGGAGAGCACAGGCTGCCTCAGACTCAGCTGCTCCCACATCGGCTTCCTACACACTCATCTACCGTTTCACTCATGCAGGTGGGGCCGACGGTGTCATGAGATCAGAAGTATTTACTGAAAGCATTTTTTCCGTATCAAAAGCAATACAGGCAGACCTCGGGAAGATATCATGGGCTCGGGTCCAGACCACCACAATAAAGCAAGCCACCC